ATATATATATTATAATTTTTATTATAAAAAAAATTATGAATTATTTTCCCATATTTTTTTATTATAAAATTTATATAAAATATATCCCAATATTATTTTATATAACAATGTTTGTATCAATATTATATAAATTTAATATATATATACACATATTTTGGCAAGGAATTGAATTTCTATTCGTATTTAGTCGTCAAATGTCCAGAGGTTTTCTTCAGTCGCTGTCCGGCAGATCTTCGCAACGAGCCGTTGCACAAGACCTGACCCGACGTGACCTCCACTGGGGGGACCTGCAAGGATCACCACGAACCGCGGTTGATATGCAGATTCTGGAAGCACAAAAACTGCTTGGGTGGTTTCAATCTCTTTTTTTCAGATGTTTCTGGTTCTGAGTCGATTGCGAATCATCACCCAAATTGGATAGATGGAAATTGATGGAACATCACGAAGAAGTGAAATCACCAAGCAGAAAACTGAGAGATGACCACCAGCTGTTCGTCCAACAACCAGGGTTGAGACCCTTGGTTGAGGTCATCCGCCCCAAAAAGCCAAAAAGCGGTCTGCCTTAGGCAGAGCTCAAAAACCCTCTCAAATGCCATCTGTGTGGGAAATGTAAGCAGAGTTGACATTAGATCCAACAAATCATATCGAATCCCACACAAAATCCACCAAACTTGATGACCTTTAAGTTCATCGTGGTCAAGGAGAACTTTGATGACCAAGCATCATTCTCGCCATTAACATTGTTATTTGGGCTGTATACTGTATTCATGTGTACACCCAATTTTCAGACACAACCAAATTGACACAAAAGCATACATTTGATCCATCAACACCCACTGAAAAACATCCACTGAAACATGTTCTGCGCCTCACGATGCCTCACAGGTATTTCTGATCGGACAGCAAGTTTGATGCTCAACAATTGGTACATCCCATACAGTGGACGTGTAGCATTTGAGGGCTGGCCTCCAAGTGCGAATGAGGCGACTCTGTGGAAATCTTTGGCGTGCACACCCTGTTTTTCTCCGGGAAGGGCGTAGACCCCCCCTTTTTTTCAAAGGTGCAGAGCCTTCTCTTGTCATCTTGTGGCATACCTCAAAATCCATGAGAAAATTAGGGTGCGCGATGTTTTGCCACATCAAAGCAGTTGGGTTCAGCGCTCACTTCTGGGATTGCATCTGCAGCTTGTAGTAGACTCCCTTCAAAGCCATGAGTTCATTGTGATTGCCCTGCTCCACTACACGGCCATCTGCATTCACCAAAATCACGTCACAGCCTGGCATAGGGGGTTGGTTCTTATCATCCCATGTTGCTTTATGTTTAATTAATCAGAATCTTCAATACGTTTAACTGCATCAAATGTAAATGTACATTGAATGTGTATATATATATACATATACATAATACATATGTGTGTGTGTGACTTGATTCAGCCCGACCCACTAACTCTTTAAGATCCCTTAAATGGTATATAATCGTTTATGATTCATCTGATGGCTTTGAAAGATGATGTTTACAGGGTCCACGACTTATCATCCCCATCAAGCCGGGGTTTATACTATAACTTTACAGGCTTCCATATAAGATTTAGAGGCTTCAAGCTATATAAGTATAGCTATCCAAAAATCCCTCCATTCACAGCTTTACTTTCCCCATTCATGCTGGACTTTTTATACATCGGTAGCCAATGCCATCATCTCCATCGAAATCACAGGACACCATGGGTAGCATCCTCCAAGCGCAGAGGATGCCAGCAGGCCGCCTTGGATGGTGGACAAGCGGTGCGCAATGGCGAAGGAGGTGCGGCCCTGCAAGGCTGCCTCCAGGGCCTTCTGCACGATGGCTTCACCTGATCCATGGGAAGATCCAGAAGCATGGGAATGATTCATGGGCATTCAACCAACCGACCTAAGGATATAGTAAGGATACATTGGGATCTATCATCCAACATAGAGTATATCTGCTTGGTGGTGCAATAACCATCTTGAAAAATATGGACTTCGTCAATGGGTTGCGGATGACATCCCATATATGAAATGGAAAATAAACAATATTTGAAACCACCAACCAACCAGGAATGATCCATGATTTAGAACATGTAACATGACCTAACAAAAACATCACTTCTCCAAAATGACCGTTAATGAACATGTGAATTGCTTCATTGATGATTTAATTGGTCCAGTCAAATTAAGAATCATGTGACACGTTATTTGGTTCCCAAACATGCTCCCTCCAAACAGGGTTCGCCCACACTCAAACAACACATTCAAGCAATATGATATACTTATCACCAGAGGATGAACGAAAATATAGGCAGTGATTTTGACTTAAGTTTTCAGGATTTAGGGCTTTAATTTAGATTTAGGGTTTTTGGTTTTAGGGTTTTAGGGTTTCAGGGTTTCTTGTTTTGGAAAGTAAAAAACTTAAACCCTACGCAGGGATTTGAGCATGTCAAAGGATATGCGGGATTCGCCGCGGGCAAACCTAGGGTTTGCAGCGAACATGTTTAAACACTTGTTCAAATTTATAATTGACTTCCCCCAAAGAAACATTAAAACACAATGGCCTATCCAAATGAACATATCTGATTGCACCCCCAGAATCCATCAAAATTGATTATCATGACTCATCCTTTAAGTCACTGTCCAATCTTTTTTTTCATATTTTTCCCGTAAAAAACACAAAAAAAAAACACCTCGTTAGAGCCACTGGGATTCCATGACAAATTCCATGGGTTTTTATCCGGGTTTAGCCCAAAAAGATCATGGGAAAATCCCATGGGTTTCCGGTTAAAGTTCTCCCTTCCAATCCATTGATATATGTTTTTCCTATGGTTTTCCTATGGTTTTCACTTATCATTACACCTTTCCCTCGTCAACGTCGCACAAGCGGAAACACCCAAGGAACTCTGTGTGTCCAATGCGCTGGTGGCTTCGTCCAACAACATCACCCGAGGATCTCCTCGGTTTTTTGTGAGTCAATGGATGTTGTAATTGGATATAACCAACAATAATGGGGATAATAATGGAAATGGTATATAACTGATATAATCCCAACAATAATGAAGGATAGGTGCTTTTTGTGAGTCAATGGATAAGAATGGGACAATGGATGGGAATGGGATATATATACTGTATATGATATAAGCAACAATAATGGATAATGAGAATAGAATGGGTTTAGTTGAAGATTGATAATTGTAGGGAATTATACTAAGTTGTTCTAGCTGGCTTGTGGGAAAATATTATACCCAGGGACACCGATTAACCAACTAGTAGAATGAGATGGGATAATGTGAATGGTTGATAGCACCCATAAAAATGTTGCTTTTGGGGATGGTTTATGGCATGAACCTTAGCCAAATTCTTAATTTGTCCACCAGATATGTGAAGTTTGAGGTTTGACATGACCCATCCCCATGTAAGAAAACATATAGCATGCAGCCCTCTTTGAGATGAAAATGGTCAACGAAACTAGGAGGATATTGATATTGCAATGTGGTACCCTAGGATAAACATGGTTAAAACATACAAACTCATGGAGAAATCCTCTGAACATGATCTAAAAATGGTCAGAAAACACCACATCCATGGTAGTTTACAGGAGGAGAAATCCAACAAACATCCCCAGTTCTACCAGAAAAGGGGTATGATGAGTTACTCCTTGTGAAAAGCACCAGTTCTCAAGTTTTTTGCCAGCTACCTAGTGGTGGAGGGTGATTGTCCCACCTGTTGAGTCGCACCCTTTAGCATTTGACTCACGAGTCACGAGTCGATTTGGGCCCCAAACACTTGGTAATGTGTCAAACATCTCAGAACCTCAGATCTTGACCTGCAGCCATCAAGGTCATCAAAATCTTAGGCAAATGAGTATATATATATATACCTCCAAAACTGGATTGTCTCTTCGCAACTTTTTTTCGAACGATTCTCTCAAACCTATCAACCATCTATGGTTGGCTTGGCCGGTGGGGTCGCTAGCCCCCCATATTTGTTGGTTAAATCACCATGAGTTTCCACAGTTTTTGTGAAATCTTCATCAACCTGGGTCAACATTCATTGTTGCCTCTGTTGGTCAGTCTAATCCTAGTTGCTGTCGCTTATCCACATATCATATTCTCATACCTTATCATCCTTATCTGTTTATATAATGTTGTGTTCCACCATTTATGTCGATGATTTCTCAACTTCCACACTTCCCATAGAAATGGATGAGATATTCCCAATATTTCCCAACTCTTATAATCACCCACACCATCCACTTACCCAGACTTTTAGTTTTTATGCACATATATGGAATATGTGGTTCCAAAAATCAATGTGGTTTCTACATGTCCCCAATTCGCAGCAACCACACTGTATGGGAAATCTCCCAAATTACATTAACCATTTGAACGATCATCGGTCTTAGTAAATGGTTAGTACTGGTTGCTCATTCCCCAAGCAGGTTCTCCATGGTTCTCCCATTTACAACTGGGTTCTTACTACCATCTGGTAATTTTAACACAGCTATGGAAAATCACCATTTTTAATAGGTACATGAACTATAAGTGGGCATCTTCAACTCTTCAACAGCTATGTTAATTTACCAGAGGGTAAATTGGATGTTCCTAAATGGATCTATCCGAACCCCAATAGCTGGATGGTGTAAATTTCATGGAAAAATCATGGAAAATCCAATCTCACAAAATGGATGAGAACTGGGGGTACCCCATGACTTTTCCGAAACCTCCAAATGCCAACTGTAAATGGATCATTCCCACTATGTAAATAAGTTGTCCCAGTTATGAATGGTTATATTTTATGGTGACTCATGGGATAAGAAGCAGACCATGGGAATCACCATTGTTATTCATGGGATTCATGGTTACATCAATACATCATTTTATCATCCATGTCCTGTAATGATATCCCATTTATGAATGCTTATTTAATGAATAAGTTCATTTATCCTCATAATATCTCATAATATTCACTGTGAATAGTTCACAATATTTCAGTGTTCAATGATATCCAGTGTTATCAATGTTCTTTTATGAATCATCATTGAATAAATATCCAGTGTTATCAATTATCCACATAAAGGAAGATATACTGGGATAATATATCAATTTTCATTATGAATAATCCAGTGTAATATGAATAATCCAATGTAAATTACCTCATTTCTTCTTACTTGTGCAAAAGGTATGGAATTTTTGGGAATGATTCACTGGCTAACTATCAATAATAATCCCAGCAACCCCCATTCCCATCCATTCCCTACGTTTAGCACCAGTAAGTCTTTTAATATTGGATAATTCTGGGTAAATTATAATACTTCACTAACCTGAATTAAGGCCATTTGGGGATCATTTCCCTTATTAACCATGATTTCCAGTGAGGTCGCAGTGAGGTCGTTATAATTAAATCACCATTAAATCACCATTAAATCACCATTTCTAGTGGTTAAATCACCATTAAATCCCAAGCATATTAGATATTTGTTTTCGCCCAGCATCGCATCAGCGCACGGCAGATGGCCACCCGCTGCTTCTGGCCGCCAGAGAGGCGGCTTCCGCGGGGACCCACCTTTCGCTCGCGGCGGCAGGTGGTTTTTCCATGGGAAAACTTCGGCAACATGTGAGAAAACCATGAGAAAACCATGAGAAAACCATGAGAAAAACATGGGAAAACCATGGGAAAACTGTGGAAACATGACTGGGCTTAAGCTCCGAGATCGAAGATTGTTCAAACTACTTCAAGATGTACTTGCCACTTAAATATATATATATGTATATATATATATATATATTGGAATCAGAGATCCAAAGAACGTCAAAATCACCACTGAGAGTGGTCATGTTTGGTCGGAGTCCCCAAACAATTGTTGTAGACAATACATATACCTACTGGTATCCAAACATCTACTGGGTAATCATCAAAAATAGTCCCTCGCATTTGAATCCAGGAAGGGATTTCACACCTCAGTGGTCAAGCCCTGGTTGCCGTTCTTGTACAAGAAGCCCAAATTGCCTCGGTAGCACTCCCCTGGGCTTAACAATGTCGAGAGACATGTCTAGCTGATGGTTTATGTGTTTTCAGCCTGTACGAAACAGTAAAACCAAGTAATGTGGGTAAAACCATGTCATAAACCATCCCCCAGTCATCACCATGATTATAGGTGGTATGGTTACGAGTACCATTCCCAGTCATGGGTGGTTTATGGCATTGTTTTACCCCCATTGAACCTGGGGAACATATCTTGGAATCATGCCTGAACAGGAAACAACAAACATGGCTGTGGGCAAGACCTTCTGTGTGTGAACATCCCAAACTTCCTTGAGACATACGACAAATCAATATAAAGTAAAGCGGGGTTTCGAAAAATATCCTTTGAAAAATCTTCAGCAGCTTGCCCACCGCAATGGCTGCCCAACAAAAACACATCGGAACCAGGTGACACATCTTTTCGCACTCCGCGATGTATTCGGGTGTCACAGTCTCTCCGTCTTCCAAGCCGTACCTCATCGAGGATCAGGTGCCAAATGCCATCAGCAGTTTCAGAAGGCTGGCTCCCGCAGTAGTTCAACAACCCTCATTTAGAATAGATGAACATAACATAAGTGAAAGTGAGCTACAGGTTCTGCTGGATATTATTTGATATTATCATTAAATTAATCATTATAGCATCCTCGACCACAAATTCTTAAGATCATGCAGGAACCCCAAGCGGGGCCGCACAAGATGTTGTTCCTCACGGTGGTGTTGAACAGCACTGGCTCCTGGATGAAGCAAATTACACCATGCTACACCTTGTAAATTTAACATGGACCCCAAAAATCCCAAAACAATATGGTGAAAACATGTGAGAATTAGTGACATCTTCTTTGGGAACCCTTTTTCATGTTCTCTGTGAATATTTGAGAGGTTTAGGTCTTTCTATATATAGATTCAATTTTTGTGCATGCTCCGAGCAAACTGCTTCCGCCCCCCCCTTCTCCCATGTAGTTCATCTGGATCATCGAATCTATGATAAATCCCCAGAACGTGATATTTAAGGCCATCAACTCACATCAACTCTATGTTTCCTCAATATCAGTATCAAATCTATATATACCACATGCATCATCTGTCACTCCTTGATCGGCCATAGTATGCCATAGTGTCGCTCTGAATTCTTCCAATTCTTCCAAAAGAAGTCATCAATAGTCATCCCATGTCATCCCGATGTTTTTTGGGTACCGGAGTACCGGGCAACAGTTCGGGTAGTTCGGGATCTTTGGTCAATGGCCATTTCAGGAACCTAAAATGGAGGTAGCTACCATATATCAGGCCTATTTTTCAGGCCTAAATTTCAGGGAATATCCCTAGAACATATGCCCTTATATCGGCCCTTATATGGTACGTTTACGTACCTCCATAAATTGGATCCTGAAGTTCTCCCATTGATTTGGGCCCCCAGCACCCCCCAGAGATTTTTGGGTCCCGAGGCTTGATGGGATGACCCAGCCACAGCCTGTCCAACGAAGCCGATCTGTTTGCGCCACCAGCGGATGTTCAACGAACTCAACGTCGCCTTGTCCTGTCCGATGAGCACCTGGGAAGCGGGGGGCTAAAAAAACCCATGGGCACAAATGATGGATAGTTAGAAAATAAATGTTTCGAAAAACATGTTTCTATGAATTTGGATACATTAAAATATTACATTCTGGATTATATGAACATTTTATCATGTAGCTACATGATATCCCAGATGCTCCATGTATGGAACATTTACCAACATTTGCCCTAAAAATCACCCAGTTTTGTAGGTAAAATATACCATACATGGAGCATATGGGTATGACATTAATATATTGGCAATTGGCTCATGGTTACCCATGAATCTGAGGCTGAAATTTTCTCCAAGCGACTGAGCCCTCTTGTGGGTCGTAGAAGCGTTGCAGAAGGCACATCACGGTGCTCTTGCCTGCCGACGTCGCTTCAAACACAAATGCACCGCAAAAAAACAAGTTGGACCTTCAGCTGTTGTTCTGAAACTATAGGGTACAATATTGCTAATATAAAATATGACTAATATAAAATATTCACACACACATATATTCAACACTTGGACCTTTGAACCATATTATTCATATCATAATTGTTATTGAATAGAGCCAATAAATTTCATACAGTATCTTTGCACGCACAAAAAACAACAACAACAAAAACAGACCTCGGTGTCGCGCGCCTCCACCTGATGGACCCACCAAGCCCACAGATTGTCCTGGATGATTCCGAAATACATCAAGCTGCGCTGCATCATACTTTACCTCTGTAGGGATATCCGAAATAATTGGAAGGGATCAAAAGATCAAAACCATGTGAAGGGATATCCAATGTGAAGGGATTATCTACATTCATTGACAATGTATGTTTATTTTTTTCTGGAGATGTGAAGCGATCAATGACCATTAGTGGGATATAACAGCCATATGCTGAATATCCAAATATGAAATATGACCATTATTGGGATATATACAATCACTATTGGGATCTGAGCATAACATAGAATTGTGATGTGAACCATTCTTAGGATAACTATGGATAACTTAGGATACAATTATAATCAATTATATATGTGGTTGTATATAGTGTATATATATATATATATTATACATGTATATAATTGTATATACATATTAACGCACGTCTTTGGAATTAAATCATTGTGGGGATTTCTCGCAACCAGTAGCATCACCGGATCCACGGGACCGTTACCTGCCAGCCAATCGGGTTGGGCTCGGGGAATCATCTACTGGTTATTTGTTACATAGCCATGGTATAGATGGCCCATAGAAATAGATGGTTAGATGGTTTACCTACTAAAACCTACTAGAAATGGTGGATTTTTCCATGGCTATGTTGAATATTGTTGAAGAACCGGATGGTAAATGATCCTCAACCATAGGGGTTTTGATGCAGTTTTTATGATTTTCCCACATGGGATTGACTGGTCAGCCATACCCGTCGGTCCTGCGGAGATCTTGAAGGTGATTCCTTTCAAGACCTGGGAAGAAACATGGGTGGCTAGGGGAATTGCAACGCGTAAAAAACAGCCAACACCTAAGAATTCACTGTGAAAACTTGGGATTAATAAAAACCTTGATGAAGGATGACTCGAAATCCTAGACCTGAACTGGCCAATGAACATGAATAAACATTGAATGATACTGCCGCTACTGCTGCTTTTGCTGTATGAAACTGCAGCTCAGTCAAGGCACTTGAATCTCAGGACGGAAGGGATAGAAGAACTTCCTGAGATTCGCCCACCATGCAGGAAGCCAAGGACCATATTTTGGATTTCTATGGGATTTCTGGGGTTTCAACTGTTTTCTGCTGGGAAAAAAATCTGCCATGAACTCCAACAACAAGATCCATGAACATTTCCAATATATATATATATATTGGTGAATTACTTAGTATACTCCCACAATTATATACAATAATCATCAAACGAACCATCATTCAAAAAATCTATCATATTCTATCCACATCTATCAGTCGTATCTCCCAAATAAAACACTGGTTGGTGGTTTCAACCCTCCTGAAAAATATGAGTTCGTCAGATTGGATCATCATCCCCCAACTATTGGGGAAAATAAAAACATCATGTTCCAAACCACCAACCAGTTGTAGATTAAACACCAACTATATATAGGTAATGGTACGTTTATAAACCAACTATAGGTAATTAACCATTTAACTATGGATAATATCCTATGATTATTTTCCCCCGCCCCGCGGACCATGGCATCGAGGCACACGTCCACGAACTCGATGGTCCCCGCGTCCAACTTCTCGGGGGCTGAGCCCTTGGGCGCCAAGCCTTCGATCAGCGACTCCTGGGCGAACGCTGAAGCGGAGGATCTGCGCTGAAGTGGAGGATCTGGGGCTGAAACCCATGGCAAGCTATGGAAAAACCATGGGAAAACATGGGAAAACCATGGGAAAACCTATGGAAACAAATCGATGGTAACTGACGCAACTAGAGGTCAAACTCTGACTTTTTGGAGAAAACGTAAATGGTTTCTATCATATCTGGGGATGTTGATGCATAGTTGGTTCTCGTTTGGTCACGAACTGGAGATTTGAGCGGCAAAGATGAGGAGTTGATCAATTGAAAGCTGGGCGGATTTTTCCATCTTTCGAACCTCGCTAAGGGTGGTACAACATCTGACTCCTTTCGGGAAACTGTTTTCTTGCATTTGCTTGAGGTGCCTTCAAAATATCGAAGTTATTCCCTTCATAAAATCTTAAATAGATTTAAATAGTGGATGTCCAATGGGGAAAATGGACATGACCTTCAACAAAAAGCCAGGTTTGGCCAACCCAAAAATCAAGGGCTCGAACGCCGAGCTGCCCGATCAATCAGTTTGAACATGTCGTGGCAGGCAACTTTTGCCTCACGGGCTGGGGATCGGGGAAGGCATGTGGCCCAAACAATGAACAGATGAAAACCAGAGTCTCGTTCGGGGGTATCTGATATGAGGGGGGAAGGGATTAACAACATGGGCAACATTTTTCCCAGAAAACTGGGATGTGAATCACATGCGAAAGTGCCTTAGACATGACATGTGGACTCTCCCCCATCTTGGGCGTGTTGACTTCCCAACTTTTTTCGGGAAAAACTTTCAAAACCTAAAACCTGGCGCAGAAGAGTTAGATGATTTACCCAATGATGTGGTAACCACAACAATCAATCTCTATTGGGGATGGTAAAAATTGTTGGCTTTGTCACATGATTCACCATTTCTTCGATGGGTGCGAGTTGATCGGCAAGTGTAGACGGTATGAACCATCCAGATTGATTGACGTTTTCTGAATATACACCCATCTCAAAACAACCAAGATGACCAATTTTTTGGGAATGATGAATTTTCCCTAACATTCACCATCATCTCATTGTTCCCGGCGTTTGGAAAAGGAGGATTTAGCCTTAAGTTATCACTTATAGAGAGTTATATAGTTGGTTAATTATATTATATTATATTTAAATAACTATATACATAATGTTACATAGTTATATAAGTGATATATATATAATATAACTATAACATTTTATAAATGGGATAACCCACAAAGGGACCCAGTAACCAGGCTCATTCGGATCCTTGGGATCCCCCCAAACTCTCGGTCCTTGGTGGCATCTCCCATCATCACAGCCGCCTGTCCTGTCGTTGGTGAAACTTCACTAGTGGCTTGTGAGCCAACCATGGGGTAAGATGCTTCAAAATGATCTAAGGATCTAAGATGATCTAAGGCTGAGTCGAGATGATTTACGAGAAAATCAGATGGTGCAAGATGACTTTAGGTGGTCTAAAATGATTAATTAAAGATCATATTCTACTATCAAAGTTGATGTGATTTTAGGTAATTCATGGTATATAATTCGACATAATAAGTAAGCGCAGATCATGTAAGATGATTTTAGATTATTCAATATGGTCTGAGATGGTTTAAGCTGATTTGAGACATGATTCAACATGATTCAACATGATTCAAGTGAAGTTGGTTTCGTCAAATGTCGGGACGCACTGCCATTGGAGACCCACTTTCATCCCCAGGAAAAATCTCGTCAAGCGTTTGAGGGGTCAGCTGAGTTTTTGACTCAGGAGACCCCACAGATCTTCTGTGTGAAACATCTCAAGTATTGTGGTTCAATCTCAATGTCGCTTCAAAATCTCAATAACACAACGAACCAACATACGAACGATCTAACCACCGAAAAAAATCCGGAAGTCTTCCCCCAAATTTCTCCGAGATTTTCTCCAGTGCTTCACTTGGCTTCCCTTGGCTTCCCTTGGCTTCGGCGCGCCTGCGCCCATGCCAGCATAGAAAATGCCCATGAAAGCCATCATGACACCTGGGATCATGGGATCATCTGCAAACAATTTCATCAACTCACCAAAGCTTTGATAAGAAAGGTGTTTTGTGTTGGTTTACCTCGTGAATACTATGTTTATATATATATATATCTATATATAACTATATAATGTATATATATATATATATTCTATTATTCTACTATGACACATATCCATATATCCTGGTTCATGTTAGTTGTAATCCAACTATATATCCAACTTAAGCATGGGTCACCACCTTGGATCTTCATGTCAAGTAGCCAAACCCGTCCGGATATCCCTCAAGTTCCCTTGAAACTTATCATCTCCAACTCAGAAACATGGGTTCTCCAAAATAAACCCTAACTATCCACAACTGCCAATCATACATGAAGAATCATGAAGAACGCAATATGTTTTCGGGAAAATCATTGTAGGTCAAAACCCAGCCCCTTCTTCACATCCAAATAGCCGGTGAATGGATGTGTGTCTCCAATTCACCCATCCCTTCAGCTTTTGAAAAATCACCCAAGAATCCCCAATTCCGATGTTTGTTCATCTAGGTATCAACCATTATCAACCTTTATCAGCTCAACATCCCCAACATCCCCAGGCTTTTTCTATGGGTCTTCCATGGTTTTCCATGGGTTTTCCATTGTTTTTTAATGGGTTTTCCATGGTTTTCCTACCCAAGCCGTTCCCATCCATCCCCATCCCCTCCCAGAGGCATCCCATCCATCCGCGCCAAGGAGCTCTTGAAGTCGGAGGTGCCGTCTTTGATCAGCAGCGAAGCGATGTAGAAGCCACCCGCCATGATGAAGAACATGATGCCTGCTGGACCGAACAAAAAACATGGGGGAAGTTGGGGAAATCCCTGGACCGAACAAAAAACATGGGGTAAGGATGGATATATATGGGAAAAAAACAAAGATTTCTATGGTGGTTTAAAAAAAACATCAACTTATAAGGAATTATATAATGATTTATGCATGTAAGTGATGTAACTTGGGATTTGTGATGAATTGAAGGATTGATATATCACCAACTACCATGGGCTTAACTAGGATGGAATTCATGGGGATTAACAAAAAGCATCAACAATAATAACTTATATACCCTCTGGTAAACGTTTACATAACTATGGAAGCTCACCATGCTATCAATGATTCAATGGTTAAATCCACTATTTCTATGGCCATTATCAATAGCGAACTGTTTGTTTACCAGGGAGTAATGGGACTTCATGGCATTCAAAAGCAAGTGAATACCGTAAAATGATGTAAAATGTTTATGTCATAGGGATATCATGACATGTGTCGGGGATATGGCTTTAATGGTTCTGAACCAGGAATGAGATACATGGCGGATGGGAACATCTGTGAAATTGATGGGTAAAGTGCCAAAAAATGGGGATGCAGATATAAAGTGATATACCATCTGGTTGTGACTAACATAGCTATTGAAAATGGCCATTTAGTGGATTTTTCCATTCAAAAAATGTGATTTTCCATAGCTATGTTAAATTACCAGAGGGCAATTGAGTGATAAACACTAATAACCACTCTAACAGGGAGATACACCTGGATCACACTTCATAATCAACAGAACATGGAGATTTAACCCATTGACATTTTCGAAGGGGTCGAGGCACAGCCTCCCACAAACAACACGAATTTCCATGAACTTCCTCAACATGTTGTGAAAATAATGAAGATTGAACATGTTTTAACCAAAATCATATAAATCATCCAGCAGTCGATCATACCCTCAGGTCATTTTAACATATGGAAAATGGCCCCGCACCTACAATGGAGATATTTCGACATCGCCATCACCCATCCAGGGGAACAGTTTTGAAGGCACCCATCAGCTTTTAGGCAGTCCGGTCAGGATGTAGCCTGTCCTTTCCCCCTACGAAATAGCCACTAGAAACCCATCAGGTAGTATTGGATCCATGGGGTCTCTAATATATGGCTTTATTTAAACCATTTTAAACCTATGCAATGAATTTAAGCAATGCTAAGTCATCATGCTATGATACCCTCTGGTATTTTTTTTGTAGCTATGGAAAATCACAACTCACTATAAATGGCCATTTTCAATAGCTATGTAAACGTCATAACCAGAGGGTAATCATTTCACTACGATGTCACCATTGGTTCATCACCATCCCTCCATGGCTTCAATGGCCTGATGACACGCCGAAGCCCAGACCCGCCAGCCAGTTGCGCCGGCACATGCCATGCACGGACTTATCCACCCAGCCTGACCGGTGGGGAAAGGCTCGGCTCGTGTCCCCCAATTTTGATACGTGGTTTCAACGGATGATGACTGGATGGTTAATCTGGTGGAACATATCATTGAATGTTTATCTGGTTGGTGGTTGACCTATCCCCATCTATCAATGGATGATATGGATGGTTTATAGTGGAAAATACCATTACTGTAAAATATGGATGATGACTGGGAAATACTGGTTGGTGGTATACCTAGACCCCATCTGAAAAATATGAGTCCGTTGGGATTATATAACATTCCCCCCAAAAAAATGGAAAAATAATCCACATGTTCCAAACCACCAACCAGTACAGTATCATCGGCACTGCTGTGCCAATCGACTGTCTCCCCGAACTATTCTGTCTAGCAGCCATTGTCCAGTTCTGAGTGGCTTCAGGGTGAATGAAGACTCTTTCCTATCTTTCCTCTAGGTGAACATAAAACACTTTTACCTGAAATGGGCTGAAATTCATCCCAGGAAAATGGAAAATGAAGAGAATTCTTACATATGTGGTAATTTCCATGTTTTGTTTCAAATGTTCATGGTATTTCCATGTGTTTTTTCCATAGTTTTCCTCCACCCCCAAGCAGCCACCGCCCCGTGCTGCTTGGCGCGCAAGCGGCCTACGTACATTGCCACCAGGGACTTCTCCACTCCCAAGGCTTGCACGGTGCGGGCGTTCATGACCTGGGGGATGTGCCAATGTGGAGGTATGGACCTCACATTCGACCCTACCGCAGCCTCACATTCGACCCTACCCCAAAATAACGTCATGCAGCCTCACATTCGACCCTACCCTAACAAAAATACGCAACCCTTCCAGGAAAAAAGGCCACTTTTTCCGGTTCACATTTGACCCTACCCCACTTTAACCTGCCTCAAACCAGAAAAATGACATTCATTGCTATCAAATCCACCAGCCCCCCTTGCACAACTACATTCATTGGTATCAAATCAACCAGCCCCCCTTGAACCATTAATTACATTCATTGGTATCAAATCAACCAGCCCCCCTTGAACAATTACATTCATTGCTATCAAATCAACCAGCCCCACTTGAACAATTATTTTCATTGCTATCAAATCAACCAGCCCCCCTGGCACAATTATATTCATTGCTATCAAATCAACCAGCCCCCCTTGAAACATTACATTCATTGGTATCAAATCAACCAGCCCCCCTTGAACCATTACATTCATTGCTATCAAATCAACCAGCCTCCCTTGAACAATTACGTTCATTGCTATCAAATCAACCAGCCTCCCTTGAACAATTACGTTCATTGCTATCAAATCAACCAGCCCCCCTTGAACAATTCCATTCACTGGTATCAATTCAACCAGCCCCCCTGGCACAATTACATTCATTGGTATCAAATCAACCAGCCCCCCTTGAACCATTACATTCATTGCTATCAAATCAACCAGCCCCCCTTGAACAATTACATTCATTGTCATCATCATCATCATCATCATCACAATCATCACGATCATCCGTCATCATCAAAGTCGTCACCATCATCATCATCATCATCATCATCATCACCATCATCACCGTCATCATGATCATGATCATGATCATCATCATCATCACCATCATCATCATGATCGTCCATCGTCATCATCATCATCATCACCACCACCACCATCATCATCATCATCATCATATCCGGAACCCTCTTTTCGCAGCTAAAAACGTTACTTTCTCACATTCGACCCTACCCCAAAAGGGGGGTAGGGTCATATGCGAAACCATTGGGGTAGGGTCAAATGCGAGGCGCGTACCGCCAATGTGCCCAGGGGGCATGGATGACCATTGGTGGATATTATCCAGTAAATTAACATAGACCCTGCCAGATAGGGGTTGGAAGATTAGTTTCCATTAAAGATTGGTGATTTTCAGGGTCTATGTTTATTTACCAGAGGGTAACATTGATTTTTGGGATGGGGATATGACTGGATATCTGAAAACATCATGGATTTTGGACCAATTTATGGGGATATTTCATTCATACCGGAGTGATGAATGGATTCAATGAAGCTTGTAATACTAATGGATTCCCGGGTAAAATTATAATTGATAGATAGTTACCTTCTGATTAATAAGTGGACCACGCCAATAATGGGAATATCATCAATGTGATTGTGGAAAGGTCACCAATCTGGGTAAATTATAATATTTCACTAACCTGAATTAAGGCCATTTGGGGATGATTCCCCTTACTAACCATGATTTCCAGTGAGGTCGCAGTGAGGTCGTTATAATTTACCCAGACCAATCTAATAGAAAAGCAGAACATCAGGATATGTGAATACTGGAATGGATTCACCAGTCGATTTCTTTCATGATTCGTAAGTGGTTTCTGTACCTTATGATTTATGAGTGGATTAAACGATTAAACCAAGCATTAATCACTAATTACATCTAATTACAGTACACGAGAATATCGTTACTGATGTGGTAAACCCTCAACCCCAAACCATACATAACCATCCCAAACATCATCAGAAATGGGTGCTGTAGACCCTCCAAAATTGGAGGTTTATTTGACGTACCACATTAAATACATCGGCACGTTTGGGCTTTTTAAGTGCATTGCCATTTCTAGTGGGACCAATGATGATAAGCCATCGGACTTTGCAGTCCCTCATCTTTGCGACAAACCCAGATCAACCATCAACTTTCCAGCAGTTCCGAACATTCCTTATTCATAACCACCCATTAAGTCATATCATAGTCATATCAAGTGTAAACTAGTTCCGAAAATTCCTTGAATCACCCCCCCATGAAGTCATATCAAGTGTAGACAGTAGATAAAAACTACTTTCTTGTGCTAAACGTAGGGAATTTTCGGGAATGATCCACAAATATCCACAATAACTATCAATAATCATCTCATCCCTTCCCTACGTTTAGGAATCAATAATCATCCCATCCCTTCCCTACTAAGCACCAGTAAGTCTATGGATAAACTCCAGGGAGTTCTTAGAGTTGACACCGAGGAGCAGAGTCGGTGACCACCTGCTGGGCATTTGTGAGATTCTCATTCCTGGACGCCGAAAAAATCATCGAAAGTTCAAGGTGTCATCTGCTTGAAGATCTAATATCTTCTCGATATACCATTAATATCCCATGAAAAGGTTGATTTTCCCACATTTCTTCAGGGTTTTCCAGAGATATCCCATTAATCAATGGATTGGTTTAAGGGAAAATCTTAATCGGAAACCATGGTTTTTACCATCAAATATGATGGACTTTCCGGTTAAAATTTTCCCATAATCCAATTCTATGAGATTTCAGAATTGAATGAATTAAGATGAATTGTATAGAAATTATCATATAGAAAGCTCCTTCTAAACCAAAAAATGTCAGCCATATATCTGAGAAAAAAATATGGAATGTACATTAATGATTCTACATGTACATTAAACATCATTAAACCATACATGAATTTATACATTGAACGACTGCCAAGGCGACCAGTCGTCGGCCAAGGATCTCGTTCTTGGAGGCACCCAGCAGCACCAACATCTGGATGGCATTGGCTGCCACCTCCGTTGATCGTGGTGAAAGGGATGGGGAGGGTGAACTCTCCAGCAATTTCAAGTTTCAGTCTTCACAGAATCACGCGCTTTCTGTTTTCAGTGTTACGGAATGATTTCTTGTATGAATTGGATCATAATTGGATCAGAATTTACCTTCATAATCTGAAGTCTTTGGTCATTCAGACATGTTTTGGACCTTCGAACCACGACCGTGGACCACCCGCGTAAACTGCTGAAACCGAGCAGCCATGATGGGAATAGAGCCCAACATCACCAGAGACATTTGCCAGCCTCAAATGTCAGCGTAGCGTACCCAGTGAGGGTGCCAAAGAAACTGATTTCATCCGATTTCACCATCAAAAAAAGTATATAAGCAGCAGAATTTGGGATTTAACCAGTCAAAACGGCCACATAATTCACATAACATGTGCCATCAAGATGGGGGAATTCACTCCTCAAAAAGGGGGGAAGTGAACCATCAAGATACTTTGGAGATCCAATGGGCAAACATTGAGAGTTCCACGTAATACTTGGACCTGCCAAGTAGCCATGACTTGCTCTAGGTCATAAATGCTCAATCTACTTATTTATCTTATGTTTTACTTCCAGCATGCACAATTATAATGATATACGTATATAGTCGTATATATATATATATATACATATACACTATATATTATATATATATATTATATATATTATATATATAATATATATATATATACATTATATAGATACACATATATATATATATTATGCGAATCGGGGATTGCCTACCCGATTATGTTCCAATGGTTGATGTTGAGAATAAATGTTCCAGTTCGACGACGTCACACGGGCAGCTGCTTCCGCATTGCTGATCTTTTCTCCAGTGCTGCAGTGGGTCTTGAGCCAAAGAGGCCAGTTCGGATTGCCCCTTTGGTGCTGGATCACAGAGTGTTTAGTTGTGATATTATACTTGATCCGTAGCCTACACTCTATTCGCACCCCCCACGCATAGCCAACTTTGTTGGCTACGCGCAAAGGAGTGTTCTTTGAATTGATCCACTACACTCGCAGCTGTTCATTTATTGAATTATGGAGAGCTAAAGTCCGTTCAGAACTTCATATCTACATGGCGGCTTGCTACAATCTCTACCCAAAAAATGAAGGTTCTGTTCACGTGCATGTAGACACGACGTAGTCGGTGTCTAGCATTGAGGTTCATCCAATGTGGCGTAGCCAGCATGGAGTCTCACTCAAGCATGTGAATTAAAGAAATCAAAACACAAAGTTGACTATGGAACTAGAAGTTTACCTTCCCGTCCCTTCGTCGGTTGAGACGTAGACCGCTGTAGAAACTCAGCGTTTCATGCAATGATGTTCAAAAAAAATGTGTGGTTCTAAATTAGCCGGCTCAGAGTCCTCTCAGAAATCATTCAAAATGAAGTAGAGGTAAATCTCGAGCAATGATTGCATCCTCGCATCGCCAGGTTCAATCAGGACCTATGCAGAGGTCAGATCGCTTAATCATCTATATCCCCATCCATAGTATCCCTGTTGGTTCCAGTCTCCGCCACGGTGTGAATAAGATTTTCCACCTTTTCCTTGGTCTTTTCCACCCTTCTTTGGCGGGGTCACTGGAGCTTGTTTTGGCGGAGGAGCGGTTTCAACTGTTCTCCATGTCGCTGACGATGATGCTTTCGCTTTCGACACTCTTCCCAGTGCTGGTGCAGCTTTCGGGGCTGCTTTCGATTTGCCAGCGGCTGGATTGGCACGTTCACGATCAGCAGGAGTCGGGGTATCAGCAATCGCAAGTATGTGAGCTTCAGACAAGTGGATGCCCCACCTTGGTCGTTGATCTTCCCGTTGCTTGATGTGATTGTAGTCATCGATCGCATCATATAGCTTTTGGAGTAGAGGTCGCGGCAATTGTCGGCCATTCTGAAGGATCAGGTGTAAAAGTGATATTCTTCGAAGTGGTGGACGAAGAGCACACACAATGTCAACTGGATTCAGTGTGATTGTGTCTTGAAAGTCAACGTTCCTGAAGAAATAAACAGCATTTACCCTATATGCACCTGCAATGATTCTTCTGACCATGACGTCTTGTCGGTCAAGGGCGTCGCGGGCCGCTGTGGTCTTTCTCATCTCATCCATTGTGGTGTCACGTTTCGACAGCTTCTCCATCTCCTCATCAAAGAATATGTTTTGCAAGTCATCATACGTGTAGCCACATTCAAGGGTATATATGAGAAGTCTTTTGAGTACCACTGCCCCATAGTATGCATTGACGAATCCCTCTTCTCCGATGTCGTCCTTTTGATTTGGTCGGCCGATCTCTTTGTAGAGCTCCTTCATCTGTTGTGCAGTTGGTTCAATGAGTTCACCATTTTCATCCTCGCCCAGGTAAGGTGTTCTTGAGTCCAGGTCCATCCTGAATTTCTGGTTCTGTTGAAAATGTTTCCATGCCGTCTCGATGTCTCCACAGAAGTTCCGTTGGAATAGTCTGTAGATCCTGACGATATGTAATCCAATCTGCAACAGGAGGATCTTGATGAATTCTGGCTGAGCATCTCCAATTGTGCAAGGTTCGATCGGCAGGACCTTTGATCCAAACTCAATCCGCTGCATCCACTTGGGGTACTCAATCACTGCATCACGAGCTTCTCCAGCCTCGTACTCTTCAATGTTGATTTCATCGACCGCTATCTCTTCATCATCGTTCTCATCGGTCGGTTTTCCTTCTTGATTGAGAAATTTGTCGACCTCATCTTGTTCTCTGAAGTCTCTTTTCTCATCATTGATGTCGCCCTTCTTCGAGGCTTGATCATCATCTCCTTCTTCTGGTTGAGTTTCTTGTTCTGGACTCTTCATGGTGACATCATCATCATCTGGCATCACCTCGTCGTCATCATCATCACCTGTCAAATCGATCTTCACCTCCTCCCATGCTTTCTTGACATGGTCTTTGAGATCTTCTTCTCGATGATGTGATTCGGCCTTTGGTACTGTAGCCACGGTGATCTTGATTCGTTTCCTCCATCCATGACTCACCAAAAATCCTTTGCACATCACACAAATCGATAATGGCGCAGGGGTCTCCATCAGACATGCGGGGCATAGTCGATGGTCCTCTTTGCTAGGGTGATGAGTGACTGCCAATAATGAAATTGCATCATTCCAATCCGGATGTCCAGGGAACAATCTGTGAGTATGACTGAAGTGACCGGTCCTGATATCGACAAGTTTTCGAAGTTCGTCTAGATCGGGTGATGATTCTTCAGGCACAATGTTTCCAATGAGCTTGTCAAATCGTTCAATGGTGGCCACCCTCTTTGCACCTTGCACAGAAAGAACAAGTTGATCTCTTCCCTTCGTGATCATGAGACGGTAGTAGTCCTTTTCTCTCCAGTCGTAATACCAAACTGCATCGAATGATTCGAATGGAATTGTTTCTTGGACCAAAATGTGTCCGTCTGCTGATAATCGAGGGGAGAACTTGGCGATGGAATCGTACGTGATGTAGATGTAGACAAGATCAGTCTGTTCAATCTTCCTGAATCTCAGCACCATCTGACTTCTCACGTCCCATGGTGCGAATGGCACGAAGAACGTATTGATGCGGTCGCCTCCTCCTCCTGGACGTAGTCCTTCTCTGAAGATTTGAGCGATGTTGTCAAATGTGGTGCAATGAAATCCTCCTCCAAGAGTGTATCCTACTCCAGGGTTCATCTGATATGAAGTCTTCTTGTCTTCAATGTGCACACCGCCTTGAACTCTTGAATGCGCCATAGGGGCACGGATTGCCACCGGCCAAAGCCAAATCTCTCGATCTGCTGTGCCGATCTCCAACCTCAGTGTTTGTCGATCAAGTCTAGAGGTCAATCCATCATTGAAGTTGTTCATAATGTGTTCCAACTCACCTTTCGTGACCTTGAGTCCTAGCACTTGTGCTCGGATTCTCTTCGTTTGCTTGTACTCAGTGAAGATCACTCTCTGGAAATTGTTCCACCTCTCAACAAGTATCGGATAATTGACGTAGGTCGTTCCAGCCAATGTATGTTGGTCTCTCCAAATGGCATCGTACTTCAAGATCGACTCAACATTGACCCAACCTGCCTCGTCGCATGGTAGTCCACGGTGATTTCGATTGTCTTTGACGCAACCCACGGAGTGGCGTAGCGCTGCATTGAATCTTTTCGACAATTCGACTATCCATTGCGGATTTTCCCACTTGTCGCCCATCCACTCATTCTCGCCATATCGATGCACTTTACACCAGCCCATTCCAAGATATTCTTCTCCATTAATGCGAGCAAGTTGAAGTGTACCAATGTTGTGGCCATGTGTAAATGGTTGGATGTACTTGAAGTTCCAGTTGTCTCCACGTTGTTTTCTTTCTTCAATAAGCCATTTTACATAAGCATCATGATCAAGGGGGTTCCAAGCGTTCAGCTCTTCAATGGTCGGCAAAACAGGCGGGGATTCCTCAGCCGCACGCTCAATCAGCAAGTCAAGCTCATGACGATTCTTCACACCTCGGCTAATTGGGTTGACTTCGACACCATTCACTAAGTATTGTCCTCCTTCTTCACGATCACCAATGTCGTACATAAAGGCTGACTGACTGTAGAAGCACTTGGTCACTTCCTCTTTCTCAGTGAATCTGGTTCTTCCCCAACGCTTTCCTCGTGGCATGACGTTCTTTGGGAGCTTGTCTTTTCTGCCTCTGGTTGCAGCTTTGGACCTTTCGGATGATGATGGGGATTTGGACTTCTGATCCATGATCAACCTCATGCGCCATATGGTGTCCTTCATGTTCTCATCATCTGGTGTAGTACATTCGTCAATGCCATGCCTTCCACCACAAATGAAACAATATTGAACATCCAATGCATCTGAAATCAGCTTCTCAAAACGATCACGGATGTCACGCACCTCGGTTCGGCGCTTCTTCGCTTCTGAAGGTTGTCCCCCCATGCCATCTTCCTCCTCCTCAATCTCGATGTCACCAGCTCCGGCATCGGTTTCTCCTGAAGTTTGTTCTGCTCGAGGGCCCCGCGCCGTAGGCGTCGTGGTCTCCTCATCAGGTTCATCAACTTCATCCACCTCTTCATCGCTTGATGAGACCTCAATCATTTCAGGGTGGTCATCGTAGTTGGCTTCTGGGAGCACCGGCATTCTGGTGATCTTCTTCTGCATGAGTAGGTCAAAAATTCCTGCTTCTTTCAAGATTGTAATCACCATGTCATTCTCGACCGGCGGGATGTATGCTTTCCTGGATCGGTTTCGCTTTGTGTTGATGGTGT